AGTAGAATTTTCCAGATGTCCAACTGGACAGGTGTTGAATCATTCCCCTTACACGTACTCACTCTCAGTTGATTCGATAAACAGAGCTCCCGTTGTTATCAATCTCTCGCTCCCTACACCCAGCTGTGATATTAGATTTTGAAACTGTCATCCTATCCCATCCAGTCTATTGCATGGTTGTGTGTAATTGCATGTAGTGCCACTTTTATTCCTGCCTGCCTTGTCAAGAATTCTGCGTAAGGTGGTTTCCGAGGTTCCTTCCTTGTATGGAATTACTACTGATGATTTAGATTCATTATTGTTGGTGTCGTCATTAATATTATTATTATCACTATTATTATTACTATTATTATTATTATTGTCATTATTATCATTATCACTACTATCATTATTTTATTTTTACATTTCCTTACATATTTCCTGACTAATTTATCAGGGTAATCATTAAGTTTCAAGGTTTCTCTTATATGTTTCACTTCCTGTCTTAGATTTTCTTTGGTACTACTTAGATTGTGTGCCCTGTTGTCACTTAAACATTTCACCAATCCTATTTTAACTGACATACCATGCATGCGATGATTGTCAGGTCAAATACATAAGTCAAAGTAGTTAGAACAGGGTCAGTGAGTCAGACTGGCCGAGCGTAAAAACCAGCAGCGAAATCTAGATTGGCTGACCCAACCGAATAAGATAAGAAATCTAGAGAATAGATCAGCTATCGCAAGCACTACATGCAATTACACACAACCATGCAATAGGCTGGATGGGATAAGATGACAGTTTTAAAATCTAATGTCACAGCTGGGTGGGTGGAGGGAGGGAGAGATTGATAACAACGGGAGCTTTGTTTATCGAATCAACTGAGAGATAATATGGGTACCAGGAATGATCCAACAGCTGGAAAATTCTACTGCCCCGATTGACGACGACAAATAGTAGAGGACAAAGAAAACTTTAAAAGTCAAGTTCCGAAGTCGTGTGATTATAATTGATGGTGAAATGATTATGAATAGCAATAATGAATTTTGTTTGAAACTGTGTCATCGAGTAAATACTAATACTGTTTCACTGACTGTGTGATACATTTAATAAACAAACTATTATGGAATTCATGTAGTGATCATCTAATTATAATTGGATGATTACACCAATCAAACAAAAAGAGGAAGAAGAATTTAGGGAATGCATTTTGATGGATAGAAACTTTGTTGGCTTAGTGATTTAAGCAACCCGCTGTTGTAACAAAGACACCGAGTATCAGAATCAAGTGGACATTGTTTAGGGCTAAACAAAATGGGCGTTTGTTTCGGGGACACTTTAAGATACTGACTATATGAGAAACTTATTGGCACTTTATGATATAAGTAAAAACACAGTTTTTGTTCAGTGAAGAAATTTCTTTTCAACGACTTCATTTTCAAGCTGTACAGTCGTATTCATATTACAGAAATCTAAAAGGAGATGAAATTAAGTGAACAATGATCCATAGACCTTTCAGAGATTCCTTATATTGGACGCTAGCCACTATAGTCAAAACTATCGGCTTTCTTGAAGGGTAGGTAACCTTTTTTCACCTTTCTAAGATGAAGTCAAATAATTTCAACAACTCGATAGAAATTCTTCTAATAAACCACTGAATATACACATTGGATCATAGGAGTAAATAAGAAGGCAGTTGCAGCGAAGAAAATTTTCTTTTCGACGAAGTCATCATCTAGGCTGTACATTCGTGTATTTATATCAAATGGATGGGAAAGTTCCAGAATAATATCCGGTCAAGGGTGAAATTAATAAAAATTAAAATTGGGAATTAGAATGCCATAATAAACAGGGGGATGGATAAAACAAACAAAATAGCATTAAAATAACTAAGAAGACTGACATTGTGCAATTAGGGGTTAGAAATGTAGAATTAACAAAATAGACAGGATGTTTGGATAAAAACTAATGTGATGAATAATTGTTTATGCAATCAGGGATTAAATATGTAGAAATAGTAAAATGACAAAATAAACACTAAGTTCGGGTATGAAAATATGGTAGTGTAAACAGGGATTAAGAAAAACTTGAAATAACATGAATAAACAGGAAGTTTAGATAAGAAAGGCGATGGGATGGTGATTACTAAAAATTACCTGTTTATGATAGCCATGGCAGGGACAGGGGTTGGACGTATTTCTTTTGTATACAAAGCGTGGGTTTGAGCTTTTGTATAGCTACCGCCTTGGCTATGCCCAGATATCTTGATTTTACTCCCTTTGATAGGTTTGATCGAATCTTGTAAATGATTTTGAAGGATTTTTCGAGTGGCGCTGAATGTTCTGAATTCACCAGGTGTTCTGTCACCGAACTATTTACCCGTTTTCGTTCTCCTTTTACTAGCCAGGCTGGATAGTGTTCACGAGCGCGTTTTTCAAGTCGGCGCATGGTACGGCCAACGTACTCAGCTCCACAAGAGCAAGTAAACTGGTATATGCACGTTGAGGTGGCCCAATGCGACAGCTTGTCTTTCGCGTTCTGGCTGAACAGTTTCTTGCAGGAAAACGTCAGTCGTAGGCTAGCGGCGAAGTATGTTTTCCTCAGCGATTTTGAGAGGCGTCTGCGAAGGATTTCTGCTTCAATCTCACTTTTGAATTCTAGATTAAGCAGAAGCATTTTCTTTGGGACGGATTGGACTTGTTCAGAAGTCTTCTAATAAACATGAAGAAAACCCAGAACGACTAATGTCTACCACGATGATAATATGACCTCATCCTCTGATTACTTTGAGGATTATTCTCAAACTTGCCACAAGCTAAAAAAGATGCAAGAATACAAACTACATCGAAGATGAAGACACACAGTTTTCGTGATGACAAGCAGTAAGAGTCACTGGAACTGAGTATAAGATGATTCCACAAGGATGTATGTAACTTGTTAAGCAATTAAGAGTGATGGAAAGGATTGATAATTTATGCGGAAGTTAGATGACGAATAGACTTGGACAGAAAACGACAGAGTTGGGAAAACAGAAATGTTGGGCAAAAATAAAGTTTAACTAGTGTAGCAGTGTAACAGTATTGTAGGCTACGTAACATAATAATAATAATAATAATAATAATAATAATTTGCTTTATTACAAAGCAGTACTTGTGATACAGAATGGAATTCTCAGCATTTTACTACAGTTTATTGCATCCAGTTTGTACATTAACAATAAATAAAGTTCTACACAGATTAAGAGTAATCTCACTTCATTATGACAACAACATATCGCTAGCATATCAATCGGTGGCAAAGCCAAAAGTGAAACAGAATGTTTGAAGGTGTTAGAACGGTAGGTACTAGCATATTTACTGGCGTAAGCGGTAACAGAAAAAGGGAAAGAGAAAAGAAAGAAAGAAAAACGTTTTACCTATAAATGATATGAGCTGGAAAGACGAGATCCTGTTGTTCTACTGACTATATAATAAGTTATAAGTTTCGCGCCTAATGCTTTCTTTTTTGTTGCACAGAACACGAGCTTAGTAGGGTATGGTTGAGTTTTTGTACTTGCTAGTGTGAGCATATAGTTTACCATATATAGACTTCTGTTCGTGCCTGATGAGATAGAAAGAGGGAGAGTTGTGAATGAAGAGGGTGGTGGTGTCAGTTAGACAGATAGAATGAATTTAGCCCATTTTTCACATGAGCGAAAAAAAAACAGGAGGGTGAGTTCTCTCTAGATGACACAATAGATTTGGCTGTACTCCGTCTAGTGAAACTTTGCACCTGGCCAAAATTTCTGTTGAACTCTGCCTTTTTATCACTCAAGCCTATTGGTTCAGTCACCATATCAACTGACTATCATTTCACCTGTTTTAATTATTTAACCACTTACATCCGACCGGAATTATCTTGCTTACTCTTTCCTGCCTACCAATTACGCCTTATACCAATCGCGAGAAAAAACATCTTCAAATATAATTTATACTTCCTTGTGTTATTCAGCTTCTACCGAGTTGAGAAGCATCCTTATTACTATTTTTTTAATTCCTAGAGGAACATAGGGCTTCAGCCGCGCGTGTCCATTGCGTTCGATTCTCTGCTATAGTTTTCACCTGGCTCCAAGTCTGCCCACACGTTTTCATCTCCTTTTCACATGACCTCCTCCAAGTCATCCCACCCTCGCACTGACGACCGACTCACCGCTTCCCTTTCGGCTGGGTTCCACTCGAGCGATGGCCTGTCTAGTGATGTCACTTGGTTTGTTTTCTCAGAGTGTGGCCAATCCACTTCCATTTCGTCCTGCTAATTTGTTGCACAATCGGTTCCTGCTGTGTTGGTTCGCTCATTGCCAGAAATCCCTGTTTTTGATCTCTTCTGGCCAGCCGGCCATCTGATCTCGAGCAATATTGAGCGAAGAAAACTAGCTGTTGATGAAGGTCTGTAGTTTGTTTGAGGTGCTCTGTATGACGCGCTGGCCAAGTCTCTGATCCGGATAGTGAGTAGCACTGACTGACTTCACATTGGAGTTGAAAATCCAGATCTTATTTTCATTTTCATCCTGAGTGCTGTCTGTTGATCTCCGCACAGACTTGAGAGTAAGGAAAGCTTGTCTTGCTTTCTCGATCCTCGCTGCTTTGATATACTCGTCATTTCCATCCGCCTGTAGTTGAAACGATGCTACCCATGTTGGTGGTAGAGGAGGTTGTTAATTTCAGGTTCCTACCATTTATGCTGGCTGATTGTTGTCCGTGGTTGTTGTTGTTGCTGTTTGTGGTGCCCAAGGAATCTTCGACATTGAGAAGCATCCTTAAAATAAACAACTGCAGTCGGTCACAATAATCACACACATAGGTGATTTCATACAGTATATCCACCTACTTATCCATCCACAGACGGAGGGGATACATTCTCTTCGACTCCATTCTGTGTTTGAACAGGAGAATTTCGAAGGCGCAAATAAAAGACTCATAGACAGGTATTTATAACAGAATATGAATGAGTTGAAAAGGTTAATCAATGAAGAAATAACTCACCTTAGACTGAACGAATGCATTTGCACCAAGTGTCTAAAATCAAAAATCAAAATGTAGATTAGATGTAGGAATCATAAACAAAGAGATGTTATTGTTATGTATACGTGTTGTCTAGACAACAAGTGTAATTTTTTCTAATTGATTTTAGATTTTCCCGTCGAGTGATTGAACCGAAGTGCTCCGTCTCAGGCTGACATGTCTGTTGGCTTCTTGTGCAGATGCTTAGACGATATTTACGCTCGTAATTAGAAGTTAACTGGTAGATCATGACTAGCAGTGGAATCCAGGATAACGCGGCTTTCGTCCTATTTGGGACTCGTCCACCAGCTGTATATACCTGCATTCCACAGTGTGTAAGTGATGATGATGTTCCCATCACCAGCGAACCCAATGGCTATAAATTCAAACGTCAGCCAGAGCGTTATCCACTAGACCACTTAAGACGAAATACGCGTTATTCTGGACTGGATTCCACTGCTAGTCACCATCCACCAATTAAATTATAACAAGTTTAATTGTTGAGCGATGTTGTGTGTGTGAAGGAAAACACCAGGAGAAATTGGACAGCTGTTTGGTTTCACGAATCCATCAGAGACAGGCCTGCAGAGATCCAGTTACTGAGACGAAAATGGTGGATGTGTACTACTGGAGAGAGAATGAAACAGTTGTCCAATACTCCCTGATCTTCAGTCATTCCCCAAATGATGTTGATTGCTTACAGCTAAAAAATATGTTCCTTCGAAACTCCCCCCCTCCCCTCCCCTAAGAAAAGGCATAATTTGAATTCGAAAAATACAACTACAATAGATCAATGTACGTGGGTGTGTAGGTGACTCAATCATTGGGTGAAAATTTGCCCGCTCGACAGTTGTCAGACTAACAATAATAATATTAACAATTGTAATAAAATAACACAGACAGAAGCGGTCGTTTGTATTCCTCAACGCCTCAACCCAGTTGTCAAAACCTGATGAAGTCTGTATAGGATGTCGTTCAACTTTGAAATACAGTCGTCAGCTAAGGCACCAGATCAATTTCTTTTACGTTGACTAGGGATGTGACTGTGGAGCATAGATCAAAAGTGTATAATTACTTTGAAGTTGAATGAGTGAACACGTTGAGGAGGTGAAATCGTGCGGCGGGTCATTGCTCGAGTGGAATTCGATTGGGAGTTGACGAGTTCGTTGGAGTTGTGATGGGATGAGTGAGATCAAGTGGACACTGCAGAGAACACGATGGAGTGGAGATGTGCATTGTGAAGCTGTATGTTCCACTCAGAACCCAGTGAGGATAATAATAATAATTGTAATAATAATATTGATAATGTGATAATAACAAGGTTAACCAGGGAGTAACACGATGCACCATTAATGCAATGTGAAGAAATAAGGAAAGCAGAAATGCTACTGATCTATTTGTTTTAAGGCTAAAATGGCAGAGAAATTGTCTTCGTGAATGAAAAATAAGTAAAGGACAACTGTCCATTTTTACCAACTAGGAAGAATAGATGATTTCAGGCGTTACCCTCACCTGACCTGACCTGGTTGGTGTAAACAGTAAGATTAATGGATGTTTTAAACAGAGTATCTGTATTCCTCATACATATGTCCTTATATGACCTTAATGTGTGTGTGCGTGTGGAAGACGTTCCAAGTATAGAACTTTTAACTTGAGTCCCGCTCACTTATTTCTTGTGGAAAACTTAGTGGAGGATAATTATGGTCTTTTTCAGAATGGATCATACGAAATAGACTATTATTATTACTAGTATTATTATCAAATAATAAATAGAGTGTATAGGCATCATGAATGTGATTCTCAATGATATTGAACTCTTTATGTCTGATCTGTGTGTGGGTGGATTAGTCTGTTGTCCTGCCATCTACTTTATTCGTCGCCTCCTACAGCACATGAACAATGAGAACAATAGAAGTTCGGGTAATTATTGAGAAAATAATTAGAAATATAGATAGGAATAATAAAACAATAAAGAAGGTAAGGGTGTGACAGAAAACAATAGAAATAAAGGTCAGAAAATGAGTTAGATTAAAGGAAAAAAAACCAGGAGAACTAGAATTAAATTGGTAGATGGTGACTAGCAGTGGAATCTAGTCAGGATAACGCGGATTTCGTCCTATTCGGGACACGTCCGCTAGCTGGATGCACCTGCATTCCACAGTGACTCAGTGATGATGATGATGATGATGTTCCCATCACGGAGGCTCAAAACCAGTGGCCATAGTTTCAAACACCACACCAGTCAGAGTCTAAAATTGAATTAAATAAATAATTAATATGACTCAACTGGTCTAGTGGATAACTCTTTAGCTGGCGTTTGAAACTTTGGCCACTGGGTTCGAGGCTCGGTGGTGGGAACATCACTGACTCACTGTGGAATTCAGGTACACCCACCTGACCACTAGTCCAAAATAGGAAGAAATGCTAGTCACCATCCACCAATTAACTTCTGATTACATTGTCAAAGGATTTGCACAAGAAGCTAACAGATTTGTCAACCTGAGACCGAACCCTTCAGTCCAATCAATCGACGGGAAAATGTAAAATTCAATTATATAGGAAAACTGCTAAGAAAGGCGTGAATATCGGTATAATTTCTTACATTATCATCTTGAAAAGTTGCAATGCCGTTTCTGGCTTAGTAGACGTGATATCCGGCTGGCTGTCGATCAAAGGACGTGAATACTGCTCAGCAGCACTTTTGTTTGTCCTCCTTTATGCCTAACTGTGAGACCTGGCCACTGAAAAGGTCGGCTGGCTAGCTATCTTTGATCATAGGTGCCTGCGTTTGTTCTATTTCCCGTGTGAAGTGGTATAATAGGGTGAGCAATATTGAAATTATACATCTGTGGAGTACTACGTAATGAGGAGAGGAAATCAATAGACGAAGCTGCGAAGTTACACCGATTGAGATGGTTAGGGCATGTATTACGGATAACTAGACATCGCCTTCCTCAACAACAGGAGATATTAGCTGACTGATATAGGCTGGATCAGATTGGAAAAGAGTTAGCCAGTGGTAAAACCAAAAAATGGCTTCATCATCAGTCAGTGAAATACACAACAATTAGTTTAAGCCAACCTCGAAAGAACGTGTAGACTGACTTCCTAGTTGTGTTCCTCGGGACGGTAAACACCAACGAAAGCTGTGGCCCAAAATCTTCGTCAATGGCTGGCGCAGATACATCCACTCCTTGTGAATTATAAAACCCAATGAAACTATATTGTTCTTCGATATTACTAACCCTGATGGATTCATATCTCTGTTTACCCTTTCAATTTCGCATTTATTTTTACTTTCTTATTCTCTTTGTGCTACCAGGAGGGAGTGTGACGACTCAAACAGCTGCACATCGATGCAAAGTGGTTCTGTGTTGAAACCAGTCAGTAGGATTGCACTGTAAATCTTTTTGCTATACTAATCATGCAGTGTATTATGAGAACACCACATAACTAGCAGTTGTGTAAGTCCACTTCTTGAATTATGTCGACGAATAGGAATTATTCAGGTTTAGTAGACCTAAAGCGCTATTGGCTGAATTAACTTCCCCCCTTTCATCTCCTTGAGTTTCTATTATAATGTGAAGTATTTTAACGCAGAGTGCAAGAGTATATCCCTCTATGCCTTTACTCAGTTGTCTGTGTACAACTCGCATAATTTTCCTGAATTTTTTCTATTCCGGTTCAATGTATTTTTATGCCATTGTTCTATGTTAATTATAAGAGAAATTCACGCGTCATTTTTCAATCCAGTGCAAATATGAATAGTATCCTTCTACACTAGAACAATTCAATAAGTTCAATTACTTTTTGTTCTTTGTTTTCTTTCTAAAGAATACTATTATTATTGTCATTATTATTATTATTACAACAGCATATACACATTTGTGATCGATTCTCGTCAGTCAGAAGCAAGCCAGTCAGTGATAATTAATTATTCATCTACACATACATTTTTGTTTGCATTTTCCTTCTACAGAGTGCATCCAATATGCGTGCACTCATTAGTACAACTGAAAAATATCTCTTGACCTATATTTGTCCTATTCTTACATCTTTCTTCTATTATCTCACTGTGGTGATTGATGTGATACGGAAAATATTATTCTCACACATTGCCACAGTTCAGTACTACTTTATTGGCAAGAGAATAAATAGTACTATGTATAGATTTGAACATTCTAATACTTGGCGTTTGATCTAAACGCATGTTCCACACACACACACACACACACACACACACACACAGTGACTGCTCAAAGAATGTAAACTGTACATATTTAAATAAAAAGTGGTTTGATCAATGAAATAGATACCTTTAGCTTCAGTCACTTGCTATCTGTTGTTACAATGCTATCATCTTCAAGCATTGGTTGTGTAGGTAGTATTCTTGTTTGATTGCATGGAGGATTCCATCATATGGGCTGACATCAGTCGGTTAGAGAACCATTGGAAAACCGACTGAGAGTACTGGACAACAGTTTCTTCAGCCTAGTTTGGTGGGACACTTCAGTAGTACTCACCCACCACAACGGGTCCAAACCCAGAACCACGCAATGGTTACAAGACAAGCGAGCTCGTTGACGATTGAGCCACTGGGACTCGACCCAATGGTCCTTGAATTCTTACTTCTGACAATTCACACACGACATAGCGCGACCATTTCTCAATGTCTTCTTCTTCTTCTGCTTCAATGAGTGAGTTACTGCCTCTTCTTCAACCCGATGTACCACTACTGGTCCTGGTCACTGAAGAGTCCCAAACTAGGCGGACGAAACAGCTGGCTGTCCAGTACTCCAACTCGGTTTTCCAGTGGTTCTCTAAACAACTCATGTCAGCCCATATAATGAAATCCTCCATGCAGTCAAACAATACCATCTAACATGCACACCTGTCACTCTGTTTATTTCCAACCCCCGCCCCACCAAAGTATTTACCTATCTCGAACATCTTCAATTCTGACTAAATCCTGTTTCTTCGTTATGTTTTGAGTGGAACATAGGACTTCAGTTCCA